AAAATATTAATATTACTAAGTCTCACTCAACCTTTGAGTAAATTTCTTTTTAATATTCAGTGTAATGAAGCAAAGTACACATAAAGCACTACATAGAATGAACTTTCAAATGACTCCTCCACTTAAACTTGATGATTTCCCCTGCATTTGGAGTAAAAACGAAACTGATATCTAGGCCTCCCAACTCCTACATAATCACTACAACCTCACTTGCTACCATTCTTCCCTCTCACACACTCTGCTAGATAGTTTTGCCTTCTTTCTGTTTTTCAAACACAGGTATTACTCCCACTCAGAGAACCCAGCAGGATTCGGAACTAGATCCTTCCTATCTTTTCAATCTCTAAATAGAGGAGTGTCCCAGGGCTCAGGCCTCAGACTACTTCACTTTTCCATCAGCAAGTTTCAAAGCTCTGACCTTTCTACTTAACACAAGACTTCTATAGACAACTGCCTACTTGACATCTCCACTCAGTTGCCTAATAGCCATAACACATGCTCAAATATGAATACTTGGTACCACACAATAGGAATCTAACTCCTTTTGCCTTCTCCATTGCCACTCCAGACCAAGCCGTCATTTGTTTGCCTCAACTATTGTAATGGCCTCTTTCTGATCTCTGCTTCTACCTAAGCTCTTTACTCTGTACAGAGCCAAAGAGTTGTCTCTTTAAAACAGAAGCCAGGGGCACCTGGGTGGCTCAGTTTAAGCTTCTGCTTTCTGCTTGGATAGAGCCCTGCATTGAGCTCCTTGGTGAGCAGGGAGCCTGCTTCTCCCTCTCCCTCTGCCTTCCCTTTCTCCTGTTTGTGCTCGCTGGCTCTCTCTCTCTCTTAAAATATTTTATTTATTTATTCATGAGAGACACAGAGAAAGAGGCAGAGACATAGGCAGAGAGAGAGAAGCAGGCTCCATGCAGGGAGCCTGATGCGAAACTGGATCCCTGGACCCCGGAATCACGACATGACCCAAAGGTGCCCCTAAATAAATAACATCTTAAAAACACACAAAAAACCATAAGCCAGCTTACACCATGGCCACAGATGGCTCTGTAGTGATTGCCCATATCACTCAGATAAGCCTAAAGTCCTGTCCATGACCCAAAGGATCTGTCCCTACTATCAAATAATTATCTACCTTATCTTATCTATTACCTTTCAACCTTTTTTCATTCAGTTCTAGCCTCATTCAGTTTTTTTCAAACTCTTTCAGCTCCAGCCACACTGCCCTCCTAGCCTTTGCAAGTGACTTGTTCCTTTTGCCTGAAGGGCCAGCCTTTGCAAGTGACTTGTTCCTTTCGCCTGAAGGGCCAGGTATCTACAAGCTCACCCTCACTTCCTTACAGATCCGTTCAGATAAGTCCCTTTAGAAGAGAGAGTTTTCCTGCTTACTTTATATAAAATCACACTCTTCCCTGACTATTCTCTTACCTTTCTTTATTGTTTGTGAAAACAACAGCTACAACATTAATATGCACTTACGCATATTTGTCTTTCTCGGACTTATTTCCCTAAGCGCAATACTCTCTAGTTCTACCCACATTGTTCACTTTTTGATGGCTGAGTAATATTTTACACACACACACACACACACACACACACACACACACACACACCTGGGCTCTTTCCATAATTTGGCTATTTGTAGACACTGCTGCCACAAACATTGGAGTGCATGTGTCCCTTCAAATCACTACTTTGTGTCCTTTGGATAAATACCTAGTAGTGTAATTACTGGGTCATAAAGTAGTTCTATTTTTAACTTTTTTTTAATAAATTTATTTTTTATTGGTGTGCAATTTGCCAACATATAGAATAACACCCAGGGCTCATTATTTTTAACTTTTTGAGGAAACTCCATACTGTTTTCCAGAGTGGCTGCACCAGCTTGCATTCCCATCAACAGTTCAAGAGGATTCCCTGTTCTCTGCATCCTTGCCAACATCTTTTGTTCCCTGAGTTGTTAATTTTAGCTATTCTAAGTGGTGTGAGGTGGTATTTCACTGTGGTTTTGATTTGTATTTCCCTGATGATGAGTGATGTTGAGCATTTTTTCATGTGTCTGGGGCCATTTGTCTGTCTTCTTTGGATAAATGTCTGTTCATGTCTTCTGCCCATTACTTGACTGGATTTTTAGTGTTTGGAGTGTCAAGTCTGATAGCTCTTTATATTTTGGATACTAGCCCTTTATCTGATGTTTGCAAATACCTTCTCACATTCCATAGGATGCCTTTTAGTTTTATTGACTGTTTCCATTTTTTGCCTCTTTATAGGCCAGTCACCACAATATTGTTTTTTAGCTCTCACTCTTCCTACTTGTTTCAGGCATTGCTGCATAACCAATCACCCCAAAACTTAGTGGTTAAAAGCAACAATTTATTATTTGGGGGGAATTTGGGTCAGGAATTCAGACAGGGCTTGCCTAGGCTGTTTTCTGTTCCTCTTGGCACTGGCTGGTATCACTCAACTGCATTCAGCCAGTAACTGGATTGGCCTGGAAGGTCCCAGAAGGCTCTGCTTATGTTTTGGCACTTAATGCTCTTCCATGTGGCCTAACTCTTCATGTTGTCTTTTATCAACCTGTAGTATACTTGAAGCTTCTTTAGAGCATGGCAGCTGGCTTCTCAGAGGGGATGTGGAAACCTCCAGATCTTTTTAAGGCCTTGATTCAGCAGCCCCAGAACTTCATTTCTGCCACAATCTTTTAGTTAAAAAAAAAAAATCATAAACCTAGCTCATACTCAGATGAAGAGGAAATAGACTCCATGTCTTGATGTCAAGAGTGGCATTTGTATACATGGAGGGAAGAATTGATGGCTGCCACCTCTGGAGACTATATTCACACTACCAGAGTGCATGTTTCATTAGAGCAGAGACCCTTGTCTGTTTTGTACATTATCATGTTTGTCTAGTGCCTAGAAGAGTGTTTGGCAAATAATAAGCATGCAATAAATACTTACTCAGTCCAAGAATTTAAGGGACAGGTGAAACACAGAGTCTGAAAAGGCAAAGGAAAGGTCTGAAGGAATAGGGGGAAAACCCAGAAGGAGTGTGTCCCATAAGTCAAGGAGGAAACATGGGAAAGGAAGACTGAAAATAATTCTTTTCACATTTAAAAGTTTTTTTAAATAAGTAAAAAAGTATATTAAAACCAGATTTGTAAAGTTATAAGTTTATTTTTTTATAGATTTTATTTATTTATTCATGAGAGACACACACAGAGAGAGAGGGGCAGAGATACAGGCAGATGGAGAAGCAGGCTCCATGCAGGGAGCCTGACATGGGACTCGATCCGGGTCTGCAGGATCATGCCCTGGGCTGAAGGCAGGCGCTAAACCGCTGAGCCACCCAGGCTGCCCAAGTTATAAGTTTAAACAACGCAATATGCCATAGAGTGAAAAGTGAGTTTTCTTCCCACGGTTCCTAATTCTCTTCCCCAGGGTCAGTCACCTTTTAACATATCCTTTCAGAGCTCACATATGTAAACACAAAGACAAGGATATATATTTCTCTCTCTCAAACACACATTGCAACATACAATTGGTAGAATATAATAAAGATGACTCAGCATTTACCTTTTTTTTTCTCTTAAGAACTAACTTCTAGAGCATTCCATATCAATACATATATTCTTTCTTTCTAGTTGCACAGAATGGTTCATTCCATTCTCAGACTATCTCACTAGGTTCCAAAATTAGGTGACTACTAGTTTCATTAGACCTGAAAAAGAGATTGCAGATTGAGAGGAGAAAGATTGGGAGGTCAGAAAGTAGAGGGAGAGGGATGCCTGGGTGGCTCAGGGGTTGAGCATCTGCCTTCAGCTCAGGTCATGACCCCGGAGTCCCAGGATCAAGTCCCACTTCGGGCTCCCTGCATGGAGCCTGCTTCTCCCTCTGCCTGTGTCTCTGCCTCTCTCTGTGTGTGTCTTTCATGAATAAATAAATAAAATCTTGAAAAAAAAAAGTAGGCTGCAAACTAAAAGAACAGAAGAAAAAGACATTAAAGAGGCAAAAGGCAGGAACAGGCTTATATCCCGAGGAGTAGGAGTAATAAAAGCAAAGATTGAAAATAAACAAAAGGGAAGGGATAAGTAATGGAGCAAAGCCCCTAGGGGATTGGAAGGGATCCTGAATTCAGGTGGAGGGATTAATTTTGAGAGCGTAGAACAGCTCTTCTAAAGAGAAAGAGGGGAGAAGGAAAGGAAGGCTAGGGCGGGTAGCTTTTGTAATAGTGGCTGGTGGGAGTCAGGGAAATGAATCCCAAGTGGTAGCGCTTTCCCCAGAAAAGTAGGAGGCAGTTTTAAAATTTTTATTTTAAAAACTGTCTACTGGGCAGCCCGGGTGGCTCAGGGGTTTAGCGTCTGCCTTTGGCCCAGAGCGTGACCCTGGAGACTCGGGATCGGGTCCCACGTCGGGCTCTCGGGCTCCCCGCACGGAGTCTGCTTCTCCCTCTGCCTCTCTCTGTGTCTCTCACGAATAAATAAAATGTTTTTTTTTTAAAACAAACAAACAAACAAACAAACAAACAAAAAACTGTCTACCAAGGGAGGGTGGGGTGGGTAGGTAGAGCTCAGTTACCAATGTGTGTAGGTTGTGAATAACAGGCGATGGGAAAAGTAGGAATTCCCAGTAGTTGTGTATTAAAGGGCTGTTTGCAGGCTTAGCAAGATTGCCTGGCCGCCTGCAAGTCCTTTGCACCTTTGGTTTGCGTTGCTGCCAATTCTCGAGGTTCCGTCGTCCGAAGCACTGGTGCAAGAGTAGACAAAGTTGGCTGGATTGTTGCGGACCCAACGATTTTGCATTTGCAGGTGGGTGGACAATCAAGGAAGCGATGGGGCTCAGGGTGAACGGGATACACCCATTTATGCACAGAAACTTCACACCTTGCCTGCATCTCTGTCTCTCATGGCCTGAATAGAGGCCCAGGGATGGCCCGGTTCCTACCAGCACGGAGCTCGCACCCACCCTGCGCCGAGGGTGGCGGCTCCGGAAAATCCTCCCGGGATGACTCACCGGCTGCGAGCCCGGTCGCGGAGGGGCTGTGGCTGCGCCCAGCAGACTGTCGCGAAACTGCGCGCCGAACACGTAAACTAGTTTTACGCAGATTGTACGCTGGGCAACCCTATGGGGAATGTTAAGAGGTACCAATGCATTTCCTCCAACCACATCCCACCTTTTGGGGTTGCAACCAAGTCATAACAGTGGGGGCACTAGGACCCATGGGCGCCGCTCGGCGATGACGTCATTCGCGGGGGGCAGAAGCGACTACCGGTAGCGTAGACTCCATAGACGCAGTTTGAAGACCATTTAGCCTTTTCCCTGAATGGGTAGCGAACTTATCCGTCTGACTTCCGCAGTCTGGGGTGGCAGCAGAACGCCTGCAGCTCGCAATTACTTTCATCGCCACCCGTTACCATGGAAGCTCTCGGGTAGTTAGGCCCCGGCGACTCCATGTTACGTCACCGCCCAAGCGCGTTTTAGGGCTGGTGGCTCCGCCCCGTCCTGAGGGAGGGGCAACACCGCGGAGGACCGAGCCCGCAGCGCCTGAGGCCTCTCAGATAATTTTGATCGCTATCAGACGCCGTCGGCGTGTAGCCCCGCCTACTCAGGGGTATCCCCGCCCGCCCTCACGCGAGCTCACCGCCCCGCCGCCCGAGGCCCCGCCCCCCGTGAATCAGCTGATCTCGGGGACCCGCTGGGCTGAGGCGCTGGCGCCGGGAGCAGACCGCGGTGCTACCGGTGGAGTGTCAGGTGAGCGCGGGCGCGTCTCTGGGCGGCCCTCGGCCTCGCAGGGCTGGCCCGCCGGGCTCTTCGGTGTGCGGGAGGCCGGGGGCGGAGGGAGGGGCGGAGGCGCGGGCCGAGGCCCGGGAGCGCGCCTGGGGACCCGCGGAGACGGCGCCCGCGTCTTCCAAAAAGCCTGCGTCCGACCGACAGACGGACGGACGGACGGACGGCGCCTGCCCGCCCAGGGGCACCGACGCGGCCCCCTGTCCCGCGCCGGCTCTCCCCTCGGCCCCTCTGCTCCGGCCCCAGACGGGGCGCTGCTACATCGGTCTCCGCGGCGGGAAATTGTTGGGCGCCCCCCCCCCCCGCATCCCCCGTCGCTGCCTTTGCTCCCCGCGCTCCCGAGGAGGTATTGAGGGCCCCCCCGGGGCGCCCCGCGCACGACCCGGAGCCCCTGGCCCTGAGCCTCGGTGAGTGCCCCAGGATGCGGACCGCGGGGGCGGGGGGACCTGGGGGTTTCGGTGGCTTGAAAGGGCGGTCGCAGGAGGAGAAAAGGACCTTGATACGGAGAGTTCGTAGTTTAACCAAGTCCTCTGGCGTGCCAGGTGAGCCATTAGGAGGTGAGAAGTTCTTGATGAGGAGCGAAGGCGGGAGAGGAGCAGAGCTCGGTCATTAGGAAGTGGTCCTGACCCCCCGGTGTTGGTTGGTCCGTGGGGTAACTGGGGCCGCTCTGGGGACGAGCACCCACAGGTCGGCGCAAGCGCTGCACACTCCGGCTCGGGGCTCGGGGCGGCGAGGGCACAGGAAAGCACCCCGGCCGGAGCGGCGCATCCAGGACGGACAAGGAAAGAACTGTTAAGCGCAGACACACAGCTTTTAGTCTCTTGCCTTTAGGCTTGTTGGTGGCTGCAGATGTTCTTTGAAAGGCTCTGAAGAGTAAGATTGTGTGACGTGTGTTCATTCCGAACAGGTATCAACTCACTGAGGTTATGGGTCCAGCTTGTCCCCCTAGTTCATACAGGACTATGAATGATTCGGAGTGACCACTGGACCTTTGAGTTCTTGAGCACCTAAAGAATTTAAAGCAGTGAAAAATTTGCTTTGGGGGCAGCCCGGGTGGCTCAGCGTTTGAGTGCCGCCTTGGACCCGGGGCGTGACCCTGGAGACCCGGGATCGAGTCCCGCGTCGGGCTCCCTGCATGGAGCCTGCTTCTCCTTCTGCCTGTGTCTCTGCCTCTCTCTCTCTCTCTCTGTTTCTCATGAATAAATAAAATCTTTAAAAAAAATAAAAAAAGAAAAATTTGCTTTTGCAGTATATTGCAATATTTTAATCTTAAGAACATAAGCTTAGGCTTCGGATTTGGACAGACCTTACATCACATCTACTTATTCTTTGACTTGGAGAAAGTTGCTTAACTTCTCTAAATTATTTTCTGATTTCTAGACTCAAGATTGAAGTACCTTCCTGATAACAGCACCTTTACATTGAATGGTTCATCTATTTATTGCCGTGCCTGGCGGTGGTAGATACTCATTCAGTACATGTTACCTATTTTTATGATTATTTCTTCTCCTGTCTCATGTCCCACACTGACTCCCTGTTTTCTAAATGGGAAAGAGAACTGAATATTTTTTAGAAAAGAACTATAATGCACTTTTTAAATTCAAGGGATAGTATCCAGATAGTTTTTTGATGCATTGACTTAATATTTACAGAAAATAGTTTCTCGGTTGGTTCGTAGTAACTTTGGTATTCAATAAAGGGGTATTTTAATGTGGAAGAGATGCTTTTAGAATCTATACCGAGTTAAAATTTATTGCTTAGTTTATTAAGTATTGGCATATTTAGGGTTCATAGTTATAGCAAAAAGATTCAAAGCTGTTTCACAATATTATTATTTGAAAAGATAACGATCCAGAAAATAAAGTACCAAATGGGTCATTTTGGGGGCGGTTTGAGTTGCATCAGGTAAGCCTCTTATTTTTTTAAGTATAGTGAAGCAATGTGAACTGGAATAGCTCTTCTGTCCAGATTTCAGCCTTCAGAGTTTAGGTTGTCTTTTGAGACACTTAACTTTGGGCATTTTGACTGTTAAAGATACAGAGTGTGTTAAGAACTTCACTGAACAGATTTCAGTTTTGTGTGATTAGATGGAAAAAGGACTATTAATCTTCTACCTTTTTATGAAAAACATGGGTTTAATGCAGTACTGCTGGGTCCATTTTAAAGGTATTTCCAAAGAATATGACTGACTTGTAAAAAAACTTTTCATGATTTTGTATTAATATAACACTAGGTAAGGTATGAGTTAAACTACGAAGGAAGGTGAAGACTGGTGATTTTTGAGATGGTGTAAAAGAAGGCCTGCTTTTATGTAGTGTGAGGTTGAGCCCCTTTCTCAGACTCGGAGTGCTGTGAGGATTTTACTGACTTCTAGATGATTTAGCCTTTTCATAACTTTGTAGAATTATTTTTTTTAATTTTTTATTTATTTATGATAGTCACAGAGAGAGAGAGGCAGAGACACAGGCAGAGGGAGAAGCAGGCTCCATGCACCGGGAGCCCGATGTGGGATTGGATCCGGGGTCTCCAGGATCTCGCCCTGGGCCAAAGGCAGGCGCCAAACCGCTGCGCCACCCAGGGATCCCCTAACTTTGTAGAATTAAACCTAGCACATGCTCCAACTATATTAGAGATTTTACTTGTAGTGCTTTTAAAAAAAAATTTTATTATTCGTGAGAGAGACACACACAGAGGCAGAGACACAGGCAGAGGGAGAAGCAGGCTCCCTGAAAGGAGTGGGATCTGGGATTCAATCCCTGACTGCAGAATCGCACCCTGAGCCCAAGGCAGACGTTCTGCCCTTTTTTTTTTTTTTTTTTAAAGGTGTCACTCTTCTCTGTTGATAATTAGATAATTCGGTCATCAGTAATAAATAGTAGGTTTTGTAGGTTATCAGTCCTTAAGAAAATGCACAGTAACCACACATATTAACAGACTTTGACATGGTTCTTTTGAGTCTTACATTTATTTTCCTATACCCATCTCATACTCCTCTATAAATGTCATGGTACTGTCTTTACATTATGTCTTGATATTTGCTGCTGTGTCACACAATTGGTAGATTAGCTGAGAAATTGGTAAAGTGGCTGAACTAATTGATCCACATGAGTAGGCAAAAATATTTAAATCAGTGAAGTAATGAGAACTTGTTTGGGCTCTCATAGAATTGCTCTTTAATAGAGACTTCTTTTTTGAATAAAATGTACAGTTCTCTCAACTCCTATGAGGAAAAGGCTGGGGCTGTTTTGTAGAGTTTCACTTGGCCACCAGTGAATTATGCTCACAGAGATCAGCTTTAGTCTCGTTGATTTCACAAATTAATCAACTCCTGGTTCCCTTTTACATATAATTTAAATAAAATTTATTTATTAAATAAAAATTGTATAAAAAATTGAATTTTGTTTTTTATAGTCCTCATTACTGTTCATATATATATATATACTTGTTTTTTCTTTTGTTCTTTATTTCACATGATCTCCCTATTAGGAAGGTGGTGGTTAGACCCAATAATGGCATCTAGATGGATAACTTTGATTACAGGGTTATTCTGCAACCTAAATTTTTGTTGAGCTGAATTCTTAACTAAGGTCAATTGCTCAAGCAAATATGCAACAAAGATGATTATAGCAACTCTTAAAATAGCAATAAAGTAGAAGAATCCAGCTGTACTTTAGTAGGGAAATGGATAAACTATGGTTTATTCATGCAATGAAATACTATCCCCTAGTAAAAATAAAGGAACTAGATCTATACTTATCAATGTGGATACATCTCAAGAGCATAATATTGAGTGAAGAAGCAAGTTGCCAAAGAATGTCTATGATATGATGCATTTATGTAGTTTTATTTATTTATTTAAATATTTCACTTATTTATTCATGAGAGATACAGAGAGGCAGAGACACAGGCAGAGGGAGAAGCAGGCTCCTCCCAGGGAGCCCGATGCAGGACTCGATCGCAGGACTCCATCCCAGGACCCCGGGATCACATCCTGAGTGGCAGGCAGACGCTCAAATGCTGAGCCACCCAGGTGTCCGCATTTATGTAGTTTTAAAAGAATATAGCTTATATTGCTTATGGGTACACATGTATCCAATGAAAATACATAAAAATATAAGAACTTTTATGGAAATGAAACACAATAACTTTATAAATAGTGGCTAACTCTGGGAGATAAGTTTGGATGGAGCTTTTTCAGAAATATGTGTAACTTTCCATTTTAAAAACAGCTGAAGCAAATATGTTAACATGTTAAAACTTAACGGGTAGGTACGTGGATTTGTTCATTATTTACTTTTACAGATTTCTGTAATTAAGATAGTTTATGAAACTAACACTTGAAATTTTTAAATTTTAATTCCATTCTAATTTAACTTTTATATAATTAAACAAAAACTTTAAAAATAAAATTTTTATTTATAATTAGGGCTTTCTTCCAGTGTGCTTTATTTTACTTTCTAGTCTTAAAGTAGTTGGCTCTGGGAAAATAATTCTTTTCTTTCTGCAATAGGAAAAGAATGTACCAGTGCAGCTCCACAATGTAAAGCTTTTCTAAGGAGAGGAGACAGACCAATTATTTAGTCAGTTTTACTTTACTGTTTGACTCGTGCACCTGGGAAAATGCTTTCTTAACTGAGGAATACTCCTTGAAAGTCTGCAGAGGAATTAAAATTCTAGAGACCCTTGGGGAATGCAAACATGACCTCAAAGGATAGGGGAACAGAGTATATCATAGAGTCCTAGAAGGGATTTGGACGGAGTGACTCAGATACAGAATTACCACAGATGCCATGTGGTCATTAACACTTTTTAAAGTTTGGTTTGGTTACATTTTATTACAGTGTGGTAAAACTGAATTTATACTGTGACTGCCGGTGTCCTAGTTATTGCTCAAAGAAAATCTAATTCTCTGTTAAATAGGTATTAATAAGTAAACATGGTGAGCTGTGTTACATGGTTTGATTAGTAAATAGTAAATTTAACAGCTGATCCTTAATATAACCACAGTATTTAAACGAGTTAAATAATATTTCATTCCTAATCAGGAATACTTGTTACTAGCATTTTCAAAAGAAGTGAAACTTGTATCTCTAGAACACTATTTTTTAGCATGTATACTCCCTATTTAGTTATGTGGCCCTGTGATGACCTTAAACACTAGTTGTTTTTGATTGGTAACATAAGCCAACATACTCTAACTGTATTTCTGTAATATTGCCTTATTTTAAAAAAAAATGTGGCCATTTAAATGAGAGAACAGTAGCAAATATTAAAGGAATGTTTTGAACAATTTGTATCAGAGATTATAATATTATAACAGACAAAAATTGTTGCAGTACCTGAGAATTTGAAATTCAATTCCTAGTATTATAATATCCATCAAAATGTTTCATGAGGATTTTACTAATCTGGAAAAACATATTTTAAAAATTTTGCAGCGGATACAAAAAGCTAAAAGTGGATTGCTGGGCCTATATTTTACTATGTTTAACTCCCATCGCCCTGTGGGTAATACCCATTTTAGAGGAGTTTCACAATCAGAAGAGCACAATTGTAGTGGTTTTCGGAGTGAAATTAGCGGGTTAGTGACCCTGATGGCACCAAACTGTTTTCACCGACTAAGCAGAAAGAGTGTTCTTTCCTGGGTTGTATAACGTTTGTGATCTGACATGAAATAAAAGCATCTTCATTGTTAGGAAATACCATTAGCAAATTATGAGTTTCTGTTATAAGTAGACATTTTCCTTTTGTGTCCGATACTGACTTTTATTACAGATGCTGGAAATCTACATCATTTGGAAACCCATGGATTGGAATTTAAGATCAAGCGCCATCTTTCACTGACTACTCACTTAAATGTAGCCTGCTTGTACCTAGAGGTTACTATGGTACAAGAATATACCAATGAATAAGTCATAATTTCTGACCTCCAGGAGTTTATATTTTGAATCAATGACTTAGTGAAAAAAAATGACTTAGTGAGTGCATTATCCCATTAGTAACAACATTATAAATAATAAGTGCTTTTCTAGGCCAGCCTCCTGAATGACTTTATTCAGTACATTAATTTACAGAATTCTTGAACTCTAGGTCAGTATTTAAGGGGCTAGTCAGCTCCCATAGTAGTATCAGGCATTGCCTTCTGTGTTGCACTTAGGGCTGAGAGGGTTGGGATTTGAAGTGGCTTTGTCACTTTGATGGTTGGTTTGTCAAAGCTATAGTGCCAGGTGAGTGTTCCTCAACCTTCATTAGTGGTTGGTAAAGGCTTTGGTGGTGGGATATCCAGGAAGTAGCAGTTGTTAGTATATAGATTAGTTGGTAAGTCAGGTGTTTGAGTCATAAGTTGCCTTGATCCATGTATAAATATATTGACTCTCTAAAAGAAAATATTCATTGAGCATTTACTATGTGTAAAATACCATAGTGTCTTAAATTATTGTTTACCGTGTTCATAGTATAAGCTCGGATTTGACTTTAAAAATTTTTTTGAAGATATGTATTTGAGAGAGAAAGGGAGAGA